GGGGGGGTGGGGGTGGTGGTTGCATCCCCTCACACTGGAGCGGAGGCGTCTCGGTTCGCCACAGCCGGCAGGAAGACCGCGGCTTCAGGGCTGCGGTAGGCCGTGAGCCGTCGGAGCTCCGCCGGAGGGACAGAGCGCCCAGCACCCCTTCTGGGTGTTGGCAAAACCTCCGGTGGTTGCTCCGGAGCCCGCTACCACCTGAATTTTTCTGTGGAAGTAAAAACGGTTTCCTCTGAGACTGTTGTGGAGTTTGCATCATATCGCTTGTTTCTCTTTGTTGACCTGCCGGTAGTTGATTTGTAGTCTGCATTGCCACAGAGGTTCCTGGCATCCAGTTCCTGCTCTTCATACCTATCTAGAAGTGATTCCAGAATCTTTTCCAGAGAATCAATTAGATCAATCACCTTTTTTCAGGTCAACATCAATACCTCGGAAAGCTTTACTTGTACTGTTGAATCATACCAGAATTATATTCCAGATCTTAGCCATCAAAACGATTTCAAGACATTCCATTTTGGTCTTCCAATGCCCAAGCTTCATGCCTTGCTTCAGGTGTTTGCTCAAGTCACTTTCAATATCTCTGTAGACATTTAGAATAGAGTTGTATCCATCTACAAGGGCTTCAGTAGCATCAGTGTTTGAGAGACTTCACAGTTAGTGTTCTTTCCTTTCCTTCCAAATACTTTATCATATTTGCCTATCTGTGTGTTGATGCAGAAAAAAGGTGTATGAGCTTTGAACGAAGCCAAAATAACTAACGGCTTCAACACAGCATCAGGCAGAAGCCTGTCCAATAAGATTCAATGAGTAAGCAGGAGAGGAAATAAAACAGCTGCTGAATTCTTATTTTTAAGTCTGCATTTTTGTGTAATGCCAGACATATTGTAGGCATTGTCCTATGCAGTCTTCAAAATGAATACCTTCTTTTTCTTGTAAATCTTACAGAGATGCAGCCAGTACTTCAGCCTTGTGAGAGACAGTCTGCAGGAAAGTAAAAAATCTTTCTACCTGCTTCCCAGAAATGACATATCATACAACTGCTGTTCCATATCCTGACACCCACACACACTTGGCAATTTAACAATAAAACAAATTTTATAATTATACTTTTTTTTTTATAAAGGAAGTCTGGGGCTAGGGAGGCCTGGGGCAATTGCCCCTTTTGCCCCCTTATAATTCCAGCACTGCAGCACTCCCTCCAGAAATAAGGGTGTATAAACACTCTCCAAGCCAGTGAGAATGCTTAGGATCAGGAATGCACACTAACACACGATGCATGCTATCCCACATGGACATATTCATGTTGCTGTGTAGGACCAGCCAAAGCCAAGATGCCATAAGTCAGCACGTTCATGTCACATGCTGTAGACAGGATCGGCTATAACCCTGGCTGTTCATTCACAGATCCTGGAGGTACTGTACTAATCAACTGCTCTGAGCCTCATCAGCCAACCTATTAGGTCAGGCATTCAAACAGACCCTGGCATCTAGGGTCTCGTATATGTTCTGTGCAGAAAATGAATGATGTGCAGGAACATCCTCCACTTGGGAGAGCCTGAACCCAAGCATGATATATCTGAGAAAAAATATCTTTTTATCATCCTCTTTAGGCGTGCATGAAACGTCTAAATATTTAAGGAGGGGGTCTGGTTTGCATTGATTTTCTTGGAAAGTTGTGGTCTTATCAGGTTGCAGGGCAGAGAAATATATATAATCTCCTCCCACTTTATTGTGTTGTATAGTGGATGGTTTTCCTACAGCATAGTGGTCACCAAAGTGTCCTCTGTAGTGATTCCTGCTAGCATTAGGCCAGCACAATTTTATTTAGAAGGAAGTCAACCTCCTTGCCTGCTGCAGACTCAGAATTGGTACATTCAGAACCAAAAACCACTGTAGGAGACTCTTGTTTTTCCACGTTTTGTTTACAGCACTTGGTAACTGTTGAATTTTTTTCTTTTAACTTCCCACACATGCAACCTTTTTACCTGCTCCATTTGCAAGTTGTGATAGTTGAATTACAATAGCTGATTCATCAGTTTGTTTACTATTTTCATATAAATATTTTTGATCTGCCGAGAAACACATAATTTAGAAGCATTGAGCATCATGATTCAAAAATCTTATGATTCTTTGCAGGTTTGCTCATCACTACTATGGCCAATTGCTATTACCTATGTGAAACAGTAGAAATACGATGAAAATAATTATATAGTTGCATAGTTACTTAGTCGGTAAGGTTGAATAAAGACACCTGTCCATCCAGTTCAATCTGTGTGTGTGTGTTTTTATGTCACTACCATTATTTTCCATATCACTGTATAATGCATTCACTAAGATGCCCATCTAAATGTTTTTTGGAAATTACTGACTCTCCCCACTGACACCATCAGCCATGGAAGGGAGTTCCACATCCTTAACACTCTGACAGTAAAGAACCCCTTACGCAGTTTAAGTTTAAACTGCTTCTTGTCCAACCTCATAGAGTGGTCACATGTCTTCATAAGTGACCTGAGACTGAATAGTTTTCTCCCTATGCTAGAATCATCATTTAGATATTTTTATATTGCAGTCATGTCTCCTCTTAAGTGTCACTTTTCGATTTGAGAATAAGTTTAATGTTTGTAGTCATTCCTCATAACTGAGGTTTCTCAGACACCTTATTTGCTTTGTTGCCCTTCTCTGTACTCTCTCCAGTTCCAGCACATTTTTCCTCAGGACTGGTAACTAGAACTGGATGGCATATTCAAGATGCAGTCGAACTAGCATTTTGTAGTTGTAGAATGATAGTTTTTTGATAATTACTTGAGTAGATACCTTTTTAATGCATGCTAATAGTCTTCTAGCCTTACTTGCAGCAGTTTAGCATTGCATGCTATTGCTGAGCCTGTGGTCCACTAGGACTACGACTAGGACCAGATCCTTCTCCATTTTCAATTTCTCCAAAGGTTATTCCCCTGGCGAGTAACTTGCATTCATATTTTAAGCCACCAAGTGCTTTACTTTTCATTACAACGCAGCTCATTTCCTCATAGAATATTAACAGGTTGGTCTGGCAAAGAAAAATCTTTCATAAATCCATACTGGTTACTACTAATAATAGTATTTTCATTAGGAAATTCTTGGATATGGTCCCTTATCATCCCCTTCAATAGTTTACATACTATTGATGTTAGGCTGACTGGTCTCCAGGTATATATCTTAGGCCTTTTTTTGAATATTGATACCACGTTTGCTTTTTGACAATCGGCTGGTACCATTCTAGTCAATCAGCTGTCCTTTAAAGATTAGGAATAACGGTCTGACTATAACATGGACAGATTCTTTGGGGACTCTTGGGTGTAAGGCACCTGGTGATTTCTTCACATTAAGTTTTTCAAGTCTTTTTGAACATGGGCTCCTTTTAGCCACAAGGGTACATTCCATGTTTTGTTATTAACTGCTTCCCGACTGCTCTATAGCAGATATACTGCTACAGGGCGGCAAAAGGTGCGCAAAATCCCGTATATATAAGTGATTTTGCATTTTTGGGTAGGGAGTGCGTGCCCTACCTGCACCGCAATTTGCGGCCTCGGCTGTCAATCACCAGGTCCTGGCCGGTGATTACTCGCTGGCGCCCAGTGATTACCGAAGATCTCCGACGGGGAGGAAAGCTGTTTTGTTTACAAACAGTTCTCCTCCCTGTCAGCTCAGGCACACTGCTTTGGATGGCTGTGCACAACACAGCCATCCAAAGCAGTGTGCTTCCAGTGAAGAACACAGACACCATCCCCCAGTAAAACACTCCCTAAACACAGTTAACCCTTCAATCAATCACTCCTCATGTTAACTCCTTCCTGCCCAGTGCTATTAGTACAGTGTCAGTGCTTTTTAATTTGGCACTGATCACTGTATTGGTGTCACTGGGGATGTCAGTGACACTAAGTCAGTTCCCCCCAGTCTCAAAATGCCCGCCGCAGTCCCGTATGAGTCGCTGATCACCGCCATTACTAATAAAAATTAAAAAAAATAAAAATCCCAGTATATATACCGCCATTTGTAAATGCTATAACTTTCACGAAACCAATTAATTTACACGTTTTTGTTTAGCAAAGGCAAGTAGCAGAATACATTTTGGTCAAAATTTATGACGAAATTTGATTTTCTAGTTTTTTTTTACTGGACATGTTTTATAGCAAAAAGTAAAAAATATTGTTTTTTTTCTCAAAATTGTCGCTTTTTTTTTTTTTTTGTATAGCGCAAAAAATAAAACCGCATAGGTGATCAAATGCCACCGAAAGAAAGCTCAATTCGTGGGAAAAAAAAAATCATTTGGATGCAGTGTTGCATGACCGCGCAATTGTCAATTAAAGTAACGCAGGGCCGTAACGCTAAAAATGGCCCGGTCAGGAAGGGAGGTAAATCCTCAGGAGTGCAAGTGGTTAAATGCCTCATTTCATTTGTAAAAACTGAGACAACGGATGTATTTAATAAACTTAATTAATTGGTAAAGAACGTAAAATGTAATACTAAGGTATAAAATTAACTTATGTTTTAATTGCTGTGTTCTAGGGTTTAATGATACTATGTTGGTAAAGGTGGTTACCCACATTGGGTTTTAGTGGACTATAGCCCTGAAGCCTACTCGCAATATTGATATAATGCACTTTGGGCAAGGCAAGCCATCACAGTCTATGTAATTCAATTCTGTAGTGAATACACACATATCATTTACATATACAGGTAGGTACAGGTGCTTGGAGCGGAATTTCAACATTGAGTATATTGATCTCTGCAACTTGTTCTTGAGACTGACAAAACATTTTAGGACAATATGCACATTTGCAAAAATATTTATTCCACGGTGGAGTTCACCTTTTAGTGATTAGAGGAAGTTTATTGTGTTGCCAAGTCTTACGTATTTTTCCTTATGCAGGCTTCACTTTATTTACTTGTTAGTACTGTCTCTTTAGATTTCTTGCAAGAACTGTAATTAACTTGTTGTGACTTTTTTGATGTTTTAGGATGATTGACAGTGGCATGAAATGCACTTTTTCTGCTCCTGGTCATAGCACAGCTCTCCTTCAGGGACTAAGTGCACTGCGTGATCAAGGTCAGCTACTTGATGTCATTCTTACTATAAACAATGATGTTATCCAAGTCCACAAAGTGGTCTTAGCTGCTTGCAGCGACTATTTTAGGTAGGTGTGTTTGTGTGCTTTTGATTCCCAGTTTTATCCCTAAATGTCAGTGTTTACTATTTTACTATATAAAGGATACAGTGAAGTTGATTTAGTAAAGGCAAATAGACTGTGCACTTTGCAAATGCAGTTGCTCCAGAGCTTAGTAAATGTGGTAAAGCTTCACTTTACAAAGAATACCCAATTGCATGCAAGGAAAATTTAAAAACAGCATTTTTTCCTTGCACGTGATCGAATGATAGAAGTCAGCAGAGCTTCCCCTCATTTATGCAGCTGTGGAACAACTGCACTTGCAAAGTGAACAGTCTGTTTGCCTTTCATAAATCAACCCCACAGTATATGTGACACTGGATAAAGACTGCACATATTCTGACACCGTGTAAAATATTTTCCCATTGATATGAAATAAATGTCCTTAAAGTGATATTAAAGTCAATTTGCTTCTTTTTTTTTATAAATCAGATACTAATTGTGTAACTTACAAGCAGTTGCTGTAATTTTTTTTTCATTTCCTCCTCTGAGCTTTCTTTTGCAACTGTTCCCTGGCCAAGCTGACATATTTTCACTATATTTGTGCCACCAGGACCTATGGAGTCTTGTAGAAGTCTCTTCTACGTACACACTCCTGCAAGGACCTGCAACTGTATGTGCTGCACACAAGAGATGGACTCACCACAATAGCTACACCTCTCCTTTACCTTTTACAGAGGTGATTAACAGCAGCTCTGTGTCCCTCTCACCCTGCCTGTGTCTGCAGCACCCTGAATGGCAGCATATACAGTTGTAGTTCCAGGTTTGTAGTTCCAAGCAGGAGCGTGCACATAGAGGAGACTGCTACAGGACTTCATAGGTTTTGGTGGCACAAGGAGCACAAATATAAGGTGAGTGTGGCAGCACGGCCAGGGGACAGTTTCAAAAGGAAGTTAAGAGGGTGAAGTTTAAAAAAAAACAAAACAGCAAATGCATGTAATGTATGTTATTAGTATTATGAAAAATAATTAACTTTAATATCACTTAAGATCAACCTGAACTTATGAAGCTAACTTATAGTTAGCTTTAATCTGCCCTTCCCTGGAGCAAATACTTATCTTCATTTCTCACCCCTGCCTATCTGTTTACTAGGGAAAGAAAAAACAGCAGATACTTCTGGGTATGGAGGAACATGATATTCATTCTATGTGACAGCTCTGAGCCAATCACCAAGCACCAGCTCTGCCACGTGGGGAGAGTCCATAAGGAGAGGGAAGATTAAAGTGGGCCTGTTGCTTTTCCCTGCATGGACATTGGAAAAAAGCACAGCCTAAGTTTTAGTTAAAAAAAAAAAAAATCAGGGACATGACTTACTATCAGCTCAATATGTCCCTTGTGCTGCTGGCTCCTCGTTTAATTGAAATCATCCTCCTCCTCCGATCCACCTCCTACCACAGTCATTGTAGTCTTCCAGGACAGTGGAGGTTTGATTGAGTCAAGGGACTGGTCAGTTGCACTTGTCAAGAGTGCTGACTATGCCTGCCCTTTCTGGCCATCTCCTCCATTCATAGAAGCTGTTCTATAGATAATGAGAATGAAAAACGTGTTGCAAAATGAACAGTGTGACGTGGCAGTAGGGAAAGTGAATAGAATTGTGGGGTCGATCACTAGAGGGATCTCCAGCAAGAGGAAAGTGGTCCTGATTTCCCTATATAGGGGAACTTAACTAAAGATCAACTAATGTTACCTCTATGATCAGGCTGTAGGAGGGGAAAACATGTCAGCGGTGTGGCCTAATGGCGGGGACTGTGCCTACTACTAGAGAATAAATTTTCAATACATAATAAGTATACAATAAATAGATAAAAGAATAAATAAAAGAATAAATAAAATAATAAACAATAAACTTACAAGTGGGATTTCCATGCAGTTTCATTCCTTTGATTTTGCTAATCAAGATAAGTAGCTTGATTCATAAATGTTTCACAATGAAGCGACAGAATAAAGCCTGCTCCTGACCACTTATGAACTGAGTGTCTGTTTAAAAAAATCCGTTTTATTTGAGTATAACATTTATCAAAAACTTGTGCTAATTTTACGCAGTTGGTTGCCCTGGATTACAAGCACACGGGTCGCAAATACACTGGAAAACTGTTGCATAGTCTTCGTTAAAAGAGACTGTATGACATATTTAAAGCGGTAGTAAAGTTTCAAAAAAAAAGGTCAAGGTAATGGCAAAATATGAAATACGTATCTTAAAACGAAGCCCTCCAGCCCTCCTGACATGGCTTCCACTTTCACCCAGTCTTTCTTCTGGCTTCACGGGCTCTGGCCTTTGAATGGCCTAGGGGGGAGGTCACAGCCACGGCACAGGGCTCTGAAGGGTCGGCATGAGTGCATGTTTAGGAGATATTCCTTGTACCTACAGGTAAGCTTTGTTATAATATTCCCTGTAGGTACAAGTTCACCAGTGGTGTTTACTACCACTTTAACTAAAGGCAAAACTTTATTTATTTATTTATTTTTAGTTTTGGATAGAGTGGAGAGGGTTTCTCTCTATATGTCCTGTTTACTGTTATCATTGAAAGTGAAGGTAAAAGAAAATACCAAGTTTTGGGTTGTTCCCAGAACAGGAATAATGGGGATTTTTTTTCCAATGGGGACACTAGTTCTGGTGACCCTGGTGACAGGAATTTATGACTCAAGCAGTAATTTTCTAGATAATCTGTAAAAATCTATCCTACTACTCCTGTTAAGCATTGCCTTGTTGTGCAATATAATCGATAAATGATCTCCAAACTGATTTTTGTCTGTCGCTAATTTGCTTGATAAATGTTCCTCAGTCTGTATTATCTACATTGATAAATCTGTCACATGCCTGAGCAAATCTGTCCCAGTGATCTGCCTAGAATTTACTACACAGTCGTCTCAAATACACAGAAAAAGCGTGAGTGAGAGGTAGCCGGATTTACAGCTAAGCATGTCTCCATTGTGCTTGATACATGTCCTCATCTTTTTTTTTTTTTTTAACAGCAGGATTTGTAATAATAAAATATTAATATGATTCTGATAAGAACTAACCTCATAAAGTTATTGTTAACGTTTAGATCGTCATTACTTTTTGCAAAAGACCAGAAAGTGGAAACTATATTTGTAATAAAATAATATTTCCAATTTGTCTAAGCAGTTGCTTCTTCTCTTTGCCCATTAAACCCTCCAGCTGGACTTGGCCTGATTATAATAGATCAAAGCTATTCTATACAAGAAGGCTTTCTTGCATATACAAATTTCTATATCTTTTCTGATAGCTGTTATAAAATTATTTTCAGTTTTCCTCTTAATGGTCTTCCTGTATGTATCCCACTGTGAAAATGATACAGCGTTAGCAGGCTAACATAAATTGTTAACTTTATTTTAGGTGCAACTAGTGTATTTATCTGAATTTAGCTAGATATTTTACCCTTGTAAACACTTTCGTGAGTCCGCTCAGATTGGGGAGAGGGAGGGCCAGCGTTAGCCACCAATCAGGCTTCAGCGCTACTATCAAACATGCTCATAGTAGTACAGATCAGAGTATGTTTGATAATTCAGTGAGTTGCTCCTTTGTTGTCCAGTCACCAAGCAGGGTTTGTTCTTTTGCAGTGTAGGTCAGAGGCTTGGCTGTGCTGTCTCTCAGGGGTGCCTATATCACAAACGTGGCTGTATAGAATTACAAATCCATTTTCAATGTATTAGAATTCACATATATGGGTCTGAGCTGTGTAGCTGGGTGCCTCACATTTTATTTTTTTTATATGAAATTATGAATGACTTTATATAATATGTTGAAATGCAATGTCTGCAGCAGCCAGTACTAGTGAAATGTAAATTTAAATCTAAGTTCCAAATCCGACTTTAGAATGTGTAATTAAAATGCACACTTTGTGCCACATCTTTTAAACTAGGGGTGTCAAACTGGTGGCCCTCCAGCTGTTGCGAAACTAAAAGTCCCATCATGTCTTTGCCCTTGGGAGTCATGCTTGTAACTGTCAATCTTGCAATGCCTCATGGGACTTGTAGTTTGGCAACAGCTGGAGGGCCGCCGGTTTGACACCCATGTTTTAGACAGTAGCTCATCCTATAAAATTGACCCCTAGAAATAGGAAGGTCACATAGCACTCTGATGTATCATAACCTTTTTACTGCCAGAGCCATTTTTCAATTTTTATGTGTTTGAAAAATCATTTTAGGCCATAAGATTACTTAAAACCACCAAAGCAAACCCCTGATGTCTCTCCTACCCAGCCAACAGTTGTGGGTTGCTAAGGCACATGTTCTCTAGAGGGCTGATATGCCAACAATTAATGAATGTGGTTCTTATGTTTGCCACTGGAGCTTATTTGCATATTAAGGGCTTGGTCAAATCTCTGCACATTTTTAACTACAATTAATTTGCACATATTAACAAATCTATATTACATATTGGCTAATACTGGAGTTTTTCTTTAACGCCATCTTGAACTTACCTCTGCATCTTGGCCTATTCATTGCATGGTAACAATTGGAACTTTACGAAAGGAGAAAAAAAAACTAGAACAGGCAAGATTTCTATTGCAGAAGAGACATACTGGGAGAGCTTTATTAAAACTGGAATGTGCAAAATCTGAAACCAATCAGCTTCCTAGTTTTTATTGTCGAAGCTCGTTTAGAAGCTGATTGGCTACTATGCACAGCTGCACCAGATTCTGAGTGCTCCAGTTTTAGTAAATCCCACCCATTATGTCCCTTTTGCATTAAAGTGTCTTACCTGCCTGTGCACTGAGCTGTGAATACGCAGCTCAGTGCACAATTTTGGCAATGCTGAGATGACTGAACTCCCCCACATGCACAGGAGTGACATCACCTCGGCCCAGCCAATTAAAATGGGTAGTAGTATTGGTATCTGGAAGCTGCCTGGTTAAAAATGTGAGGAGATTCTGGACACCGCAGTGCTGGAGTGAAGGCAAGTGTAGTTATGCTTTAATAAAAACCTACACCCTGCTGCATATGCATACATTTCATTTCTTCCCCCTCTCCTTGTTTGCTACAAGGGCAAAGCAAAACCTCATGATACTTTTGAATATGCGAATCTCCTCCATTCCATCCAAGATGGAATGGAAAAGTATTAGACATCTAAGTGACCAATTGCTATGCCCAAGAACTGACAGATATAGGAAGTGTCTTTGGCATTTTGTAAACTTTGACCTAGTAAGGAGTGGAGGAAAGTAAATATGGGTAGGGTGGGAACTACTAAGTGTACCTGTTACTTTGCCCTGGATCGCTAAAGTGTAGGTTTACTTTAGGTTGCCCGAGTTTAAAATGTTGTAATGGAATTTGATTAAAATATGTATGTATATAATTATTTATTTTTATTTTTCAATTTGAAGGGCAATGTTTACAGGAGGAATGAGAGAAGCCAGGCAAGATGTAATTGAAATAAAAGGTGTATCATCTAGAGGTTTACGACATATCATTGACTTTGCTTATACTGCAGAGGTTACACTTGATCTTGACTGTATTCATGATGTCCTGGGAGCTGCAGTGTTTCTTCAAATGGTACCTGTTGTAGAACTTTGTGAAGAGTTCCTAAAATCTGAAATGAGTGTGGAGACCTGCCTGAATATTGGACAGATGGCTACAACATTCAGCTTGGCATCTCTAAAAGAGTCAGTGGATTCTTTCACATTCCAGCATTTCCTTAAAATTTCTGAGGAAGAAGATTTTCTCCATTTGCCTTTAGAAAGACTTGTTTTTTTCCTTCAAAGTAACAAACTTAAAAACTGCAGGGAAATAGATTTATTTCATGCTGCTATCCGTTGGCTGCAGTTTGACTATTCTCGTCGGGCCCTTGCTAGTCAAGTTCTCTGTCATATTCGATTTCCACTTATGCAGTCTTCTGAGTTGGTGGATAGTGTGCAGATCGTAGATATTATGGTAGAGGATGTCCTGTGTCGCCAGTATCTTCTCGAGGCTTTCAACTACCAAATCCTCCCGTTCCGACAGCATGAGATGCAGTCTTGTAGGACAGCCCTTAGATCAGATGTATTCTCACTTATAACATTTGGTGGAACCCCTTATACCGATAATGATCGAACAGTGAGTAGCAAAGTGTATTATCTGCCAGATGTAAGTGCTCGCCAATTTAAGGAACTTAATGAAATGGAGATCGGATGCAGTCATGCTTGTGTTGCAGTCCTGGATAATTTTGTATATGTAGTAGGTGGGCAAACATTTGCAGTACCGCAGCGGTGAAGGAGCTGTAGATACTTGCTCTCGCTATGATCCCCATTTGAATCAATGGCTACGAATCCAACCCATGCAGGAGAGCAGAATTCAGTTTCAACTAAATGTCTTGTATGGTATGCTATATGCAGTAGGAGGAAGAAATAGATCAGGCAGTTTGTCCTCCGTGGAAAGATATTGTCCAAAGAAGAATGAATGGGCTTACGTCTGTTCACTAAAACGAAGAGCATGGGGTCATGCTGGTGCTACACTTGGGGGCAGGCTATATATTTCAGGAGGCTATGGCGTATCTGTGGAAGATAAAAAGGCCTTACATTGCTATGATCCTTCCTTAGACCAATGGGAATTCAAAGCTCCAATGAATGAACCAAGAGTTCTTCATGCAATGGTTGGCACAAATCACAGAATTTATGTATTTGGTGGAAGATTGGATCATGTTGACCGATGTTTTGACATTTTAGGTGTGGAGTATTATACTGCAGAGAATGATACATGGACAACCGTGACACCAATGAGAACCGGACAGTCTGAAGCTGGTTGCTGTGTATTGGACAAGAAGATTTATATTGTAGGGGGCTACAACTGGCATTTAAACAATGTAACTAGTATTGTACAGGTATACAATACAGAAACTAACAAATGGGAAAGGGACTTGCACTTCCCAGAGTCTTTTGCTGGAATAGCATGTGCATCTGTTATATTACCACAAGCCTGGACAAAACCTGAAAAAACATAACTTATTTATTTGTTTATTTATTTATTTTTAGGTATTTCTAGATTTTGGTCATAATATTGCAATGTTTAACATCCTTCAGTGCCACATTGCATACATGTCTGAAAAAAGTTTAATCAGCCTTCTACCTATATTTTAGTCAAACATGTCACCTACTAATAGTTTCTACAAAGCCCATCTCCTTCATATCTTATGCATATTCCTCATTTTAAAAAGCTTGAGTTGTACCACTATTCCAAGTAGAATCAGTTTATATTTTGCATCTCCTGCAAACAAAACAGTGTTGGGTCCTGCAACACCCTTGTTCACTCAAAGCTACTTTCTTCTCTTGCCTTTATTCTTACACCTTTATCAGGAATAGTCTATGCCTTCACAACACTTTGCACTAGTAGACTGAGAACATTAATAACGAGCACTTGTCCTAAAGTATACATAGACCCTCACTTTGTAAAACAACCTATACAGTTTAAAATAGAAATGACAAGTAAAATATTTGTGTATAGATATAAAAAAACAAATTAAATACCTTTTCTCCCTTTTTTTATAATTGATCACACACCCTCTGTTCTCAGCTGCATAGGGAGGTGAGGGTGGAGTAACAGCAGCACACTGGTCTTCTCAGTGAATAGTGTGTGTGTGTGTGTGTGTGTGTGTGTGTCAGCACAAGTCCGATCATTGGAGGACAGCAAACTCCCAGAACAGCTTTAACACTAATGACACTGTGTTCCTCTGCTTAGTGTGGTCAGTTTTTTAATAGGAAAGCATAGGGACTGGCAGGAACACCAGGGGTTTCACACAAAGAAAGCAATACAAAGAGAACATTTTTTGTACAAGTACGTGGTACAGCAGGCATATATCAGGAATTTTGAAATGTTGGGTTTACATATTTTTTTTAACTTTGGCATCCTGAACCAGGCAGCACTAGCCTGAAGCTTCCATCTGCAGATGTTATTTGCCTGAAAACCTTCTTCCTCCTTGGAAAATTACTATGGTAAGTTACAGGTGTTCTTACATAAGGTGCTAATTTTTAGGCCAGGGCTGCATTTCTCTCATTTTTAAATTTCTCCTTTAAAAAAAATGCACATCTTTTTGCAGGTAAAGAAAATGTGCATTTATTATTTTTATTTATTTTTATTAGGAGCATGTAAAGCATTGCACTCCGATCAGCAGATCGTGGGTGCTATGCAGGGCTCTTGCAGACTCTGCGTAGGCTGTCTGCTTGTACCTCATATGAGCAGTCAGTTACACTCTGACAGAAAGCCTCAATGAACAGCTCTCTACAGCACCCTGGTAGTTCATTGAGAATTATGACCCAACAGCCGCAAAGGCTGTCCATAGTTGTAGTTTCCCATTCACAGAATTCTGCAAATGATTGAAATGGCCGGGTGGGCGGAGGCCTGCACAGTTGCTTATTTTTTAATTGGGAAAAAGAGAGGAAGCCGCCTCTAAGTGCAGTATAGACAATTTATTGGTGATAAATTGCACTTACAAGATAAATAGTTAAAAAGACTCATTGTGTGGTGTGTTAAGATCCAGGTGAGACATCCAGCTGTCCAGCAGCAGCCCAGTCTATAGGATCAGGAAGTAAAGTCTAGGATGTGTCTGTGTATCAAAATGAGGCTTGGAGAGCATCAACGGATGTAGGAGGTGAAGGGGGCGGTAATGTGTTTTGGAGCATGCTTAGTAGGCTCCTTCTTCAGACCCGAGCCCCAGTAGAATGCTGACATTTTTATAGTGTGAAGGGAATAGGAGAGAGGCAAGTAGTTCCTGGGTCCTAAGGACCTACATGTTTTTCTGCATCGTACAGGAATTAATACAGATATAATAACATATCTAAAAAAAAAGGGTATATTCAATAGAAGGGAAATAGAAAATGACAATTAAATTAATTATAAAATTGAATTAGAATAGAACAATGGAGGTGAAAATAAATGTTAATAATAGTGAATAAATGAGATAATGAAAAAGGTAATTATTGTACCATAAATAAAAAAATTTTATAAAAATAAATATAAAAGCAAAATGAAAAACAAAGTTAGAAAAGCGCTTTTTAATAAATGGGCTTGCTATAAAATAGTCCGACTCTGCTCTCCAAGCCTCATTTTGATACACAGGCACATCCTAGGCTTTACTTCCTGATCCTATAGACAGTTTGTGGCTGAATGTCTCACCTGGCTCTTATTACGCCACACGATGAGTCTTTTTAACTATTTATCTTGTAAGTGCAATTTATTTATTGTTCACCATAAAATTGTCTATACTGCACTTAGAGGCGCCTTCCTCTCTTTTTCATGTTTACTGCATTAAAGCCTTGCTTTCACTCTAAGAAGAGCTTCCTCAGTGTTACTGCTCCCATCCATCCATCCCTGATATCCATTGGCACCTTTATCCTACAGCTACAGAGGTTGGGCTCTAACAAGCGTGCCCTATATAATATGCATTTTCTTTTTTAATTGTGGCAGCAGACACGATGAGAAAGTCCCCGGTCTGCTGTCAAAGCACGGACTAGTTGGGGCAGCTGCAGCAGGGACATGTTACATGTTACACCCTGAATACGGGTGTAATGTAACATCTTAGAAAAGGTGAACCTATCCTTTAAATATCCCAGTGATATCCTGACTAGTAATATTAGTTGGAAAAATAGTCAATTCTGACTGCAGTTTTAGCATAGAATGTAGCAGTTTATTTACGACACCATACAGATACAAATATTATAGAAAATATAGATCAAGTAGATGCACTCTACAGGGCTTGGCAACAGAGATAACATCTAAAAGTGTTAGTGGTGCATCGAAATGAAAATTCTGGTGCCGAAACCAAAAATGAAAATTCAAAATGTACTTGGCTAAAAACCAAAACCGAAATCTGCAGTTTTTAAAAATGAATATATATTGTTTGGGAAAAAAAATACACTTTGATTAAAAAAAAAAAAAAAAAAAAAAATATATATATATATATATATATATATACCCCAATTTTTTTGTAAAATATGAAAGAGGATGTTACGGCGAGCAAATAGATACCCAACATGTCACGCTTTAAAATTGTGCATACTCGTGGAATGGCGTGAAACTGCGGTACTTCAAAATCTCCATGGGTGATGCTTTCAAAATTTCTACAGGTTAGCCGTGTAAAGTTACAGAGGAGGTCTAGTGCTAGAATTATTGCTCTTGGTCTGACGTTGTGGTGATACTTCACATGTGTGGTTTCAATACCATTTACATATGTGGGCATGGCCTACGTATGTGTTCACCACTATGTGTGAGCACGGGGGAACAGGGGCACTTTAAACTTTTTTTTTTTCTACTGTCTCTTTAAAAAAAATTGTACTCACTTTTATTCTTATCACAAGAAATGCATGCATCCCTTGTGATAGAAATAGTGACAGGTCCTCTTTATGGAGAGATATGGGGTCAATAAGACCCCACATCTCTCCTCTGCAATGTAAAGCATTGGATCACAAAAAAAGCATTGATCTAATGCTTTAAAAAAAAAAATGGCCAGAACCGGAGGTGACATCGCTCCGGTCCTCCAAGGGCATAGAAATGAGTGGAGGCAATCTTTCCTTTACTCATCTCTATACCCAATGCCGGGATCGTTCGATGGTTTCTCAGGTAAGGCTGAGAACTACCGAGCGGCGGCCAGTGATGGCAGCGAGGGGCGACGGTGACCACTTTTTCAGTCATTTTATAGAGATAATAAGAAAGAAAAGATG